CAGCAGGGCGAGGTGGTGCTTGCGCACAAGCTTCGTGTTGTGTTAAGTATACCTGTGCAGCCTCAGTGAGCTGTAGCTGCACTACCTACTTCCTCTCCTTTTGGACAAAATGGAGATGGCTCTCCCCGCTTTCCCTCTTGTGGTACATCTCGTATGGTGTTCCTGTCAACCCAGGCAGTGTTGGTGACGCTTGTCCTAAATCCAGGCAGCTTTGTACTTGTGGGCTGCCGGCACGTATCACTGAGCCATGCACGTTTTGTTCCAGGGCATCTCTGGGACCCAAGGGCTGGCAAGGTGGCCAAGCCTCGAGGATCTTGGCTCCTCAAAGAAAGCCTTAGGAAAGTGTCTATCCTCAGTACCATGACTGCTTTCCCCTCTGTCTGCCTTCTCCTCTGAGCCTGTTCAAGTCTCTGCTTCCTGGCTGGTTTCTGCCTGAGTCCCCCAAGCCCTTCTCCTTCCTTCATAGGCGGAGATGACCGGCCAGCCTGCTCAGCAGCAGCACTTGCTGCCTCTCCTTGTGCAGACATTGGGACTGCCCCGAACCACAGAGCTCTGGCTGTCGTGGAGGTTTCTTTCTAAATGCCTCCCAAGTGCACGCACGTGCATGTGCGCGCACACGCGCACGCACACACACACACAGTTTCTGTGTCTTGCCTGTGCTGTGTAGGCTCTGTGCTGCTTTCTCCTAAAACTCAGAGCACTTTTGAGACAGGTAAACCTCTACATGGGTAAAACTGCCTAGTGACCATGTAGCAGGGACTTGGGGAAGCATCCGTTTTGAGCTTAGTCTTTGACACACAGCCAGAAAGGGCTCATCAGAGAGGCCCCTGGATATTTCAGAGGCTGGCGGCATTGTGCACTGATGACTAGACAGCTTGTCATCCTGGGCCACAGGGGGAACAACTGTTTTTAAGGTTTGGCCAGACTTCATGAGCTCCATTCTTTCCATCCTCAGTTATATGGAATGTGCACGACGCTGCTTAATTGCTTCAGTCCCTCTTTTAAAGAAGAAAGGCTACCAAGATTCTAGAGGCACTGCTAGCACTTGGAAGGTTAACTCAGTCATTTTCTTTGTCTGCACACTTAGTAGCTATAAAGATCTTTTCAGTTTTTACAGTATTAATTAATTTCAAGTGCATTTTGGCAGGCAGGCCAAGGGTCTTAACTGGCTGTTCGGAATGAGTTCTATTTTTAAGACTTAAAAAATGGTGAGACTTTTTCCAAGTCAAAAGTTGAATAGCAACCAGCCTTTATTTTGAGTATTTATACAGTAAAATGCCCCAGCGTTCATAGGTAATCAGCTGCTTTTGGCTGTTGGTTGCTTGTGCATATTAGGTGAAGGCCAGGGAATGTGCATATTCTCACTTTTGCCAGTGTCTTGCTGTGTACAGAGAAAGGGCGGTTTATCTCATAGCCTGTCAGGAAGGAAGCGAAGGGCACTCAGAGCCTGTCCGTCATGGACGTGGTCCTTGGTGGTCCTTGGCTCTGTGGTCTTGTTTCACATGTGGCTAGTGGTCAGCTATTTGTCCTGGTCCACATATGTTTCAAGTTTGACATTCACATAAGAATATTAGGATTTCTTTTTGAAAAGGAATATTATACCCAGTCAATCACCGTTTTAATGGATTTCCTTGTAAAATATGGTACTTTGTAGATAGCCATTGTTTGCTTCTTGACACGTGGGTCCTTCTAATTGCAGTTGCATCTTACATTTCCTTTTAGTGGATAGGCTTTGTGGAGGTTCCAGTGTGGACACAGCACCTGGGCCTGTGTCTCTGGGTGTGTATGTGCCTTCCTCGTGTCCTTGATGAAGTCCTCGTTCTGGTTTTCAGGAACATAGGACTTCTCAGAATCCTGGTGCTGCTACTGAGTCAGTGTCCCAGAATGTCTCATGTCGTGCAGGTTGTACCCTGCTGCAGGCTGGCCCGGCCTGGGTCCAGCGGATCTCCACTGTGGGCCAGTGCCAGCTTTCCTTGACCTTGTTCATAAGAGTATGTTTGCAGATTATGTATGAAGTTCATAAAGCCATGTTAAATAGCCAGGGTCCCTTAATTCTCAGCTTTTGTTTACAATAGCAAGAGAATGAAAAAACCAACAAACAGAAAAGAGAACTGTATATGCTTGAATCCACACCTTTGCTTTATAAGAACATTTTGATATAGTGGTAAAAACAGGGCTTCTCCTGCTAGGAAGGAAACGCTGAGGACCAAAGTGGTGTGCATTTTGGGTTCGTTAGGGTTTGGAGTATTTACATAGACAAAATGAGATGCCTTAGGGATGGCACGTAAGTCTAACCATGGAATTAACCTGTTTCGTGTACGCCTGAATATACACACCCCGCAGGTGATCTTACTGAATGTTAGTACACAGTCATCTTGACTGCCACCGACCTAGGAGGTCTGGTGTGGAATGTTGGGTGTAACATCATTCCAGACTTTGGATTTTCAGAGAGGGAATGCTGTGTGAACGACACCTCTTCCTGCCTGACTTTGCTTGCATCCCACATGCACCATTCTTGGCTAGAACAAAAACAAGCAACAAGTTGCAGGCGGTACCACAGAACCACGTTGGACGCCGAAGCCTCCAAGTTCCAGAAGGGCCGAGACCCTTGCTCTCAGCTTTTGTGCTCAGAGATCACAGCAGATGCAGGTAGTGTAGAGCCTTACGGTCCATGACAGCATTTCAGTTTTAAACTCAGACATGTGTCCTTAGGGAGTAACGTGTCGTTGGGGGGCATTACTGCTACATGAACACAAACTAAGGAAGGTTGCATAGGGTACCGTCACTAACTCCACCATTACCTGGCATGTAGCCATAAATTCCAGCACAGTTTCACAGTGATGGACAGGCCCTAGACCCTGCAGCGCGCCACCTCCAGGGCTGTGTGTGGTCTGACCACAGGAGGCAGGGTGCTCCTCGCAGGACCTCAGACGGTGTGCCGGGGTGGCACGGGCGATTCCTCTGCACTCGCTCCTGGCAGGGTGACCTGAATAGACCAGGTGCCTGGGAGGGCTGGTACCAACCACAGCACGTGGCAGGGAGGAGCAACCCGCTGTGGCAGTGGGTGGGATTCATTTTTCTTTTTTACAGCACTGTCTGGGCATCTGCTGTGTGAGGTCATAGGAAGAGATGGAAAAGACCTCCTGCATGACGTCATCTGCCCATCCCCCAGAGCCAGCTGACCCCACAGTATACTTTCCAGAGCTCCAGCCAGCTTCTCAGGAATGACTCAATGATGGAGTTTCCACTGTGTCCCAGAGAGGGCAGGAAAGCTGGCGTAGAACAGCGGCCCGCAGTCAACGGTGCTGGCCTCCTGTGATTGTGGTCCCGGTGCAGACTGCTGAAGTCTGCGTGCACTGCCTAGCTCCCGTCTGTCTGCACACAGGTGGGACAGGCTCCATCACGGAGGCCCTCCTCCGTCTGCACCGCTGTTACTGTGCCGGATCGTGTCTGCCTCCCCGTCTGGGGAAGGAGTTGGGCCACACTGTCCTGGGCTCCTCCCAGCTCTTGTTGAATCGAGACACAGAGCGAAGGACCGAGCTCTCCCTGTCCTGTGGGAGGCTGGCCTGTGAGCAATATGGATTCCAGAATGGAGAACCTGGCGTCCAGCGGCAGTACATCTTCTGAATACTTGCCTGGTGACAGCCAGCTCCTCCACCCGAGGCGCTGGCGCAGCTCAGGCCCCTATGGGGGGCCGCGTTTCACACGTGTGACACTGAGGGGTCTGGGGGTAATGCCTGGCCGCAGCGCGGCCTGAGGGGTGACTGCAGGGAAGGGCCCCTGAGGGGTGACTGCAGGGAAGGGCCCCTGAGGGGTGACTGCACGAAGGGCCCCTGAGGGGTGACTGCAGGGAAGGGCCCCTGAGGGGTCCTGGCCACCGGATGGCTGAGGGAGGTGCTGAGCCGGTGGCAGGCCCCCGTGCACACGGAACTCGGGGTCCTCGGCTTGTGTTCATGGCCTCACTCCCTCACGCCTGGGGAGACTACTCCCTAAGAGGGTGTTCACATGGATCACAAGTGCTTGTCAATGTTGTTTCTTTTACCACGTTTTCCTTTTTGTATATTAAATTTTTACACCCAGGCTTCATGAGCATGTAGTTAAACCAGCACTCCACAGTGTGATGAGTCTCCACAGAATAATGACATTGGGTGTGGTGTGAGTCACGGAGGGTGGGTGGAGAGCGGAGGGGCCTCAGCCTGGCCTGCCCGGCCAGCAGGCTCCGCAGCCCTGTACCCCTGCGGTCAGCACTGCCGGGCTTCCCGCATCTTTGCTGCACCCAGTGGGTCACAGGAAGCAATTCCGGAGAGGCGTGCTATGAGGTGTTGTGCTTCACACGAATGTCAGGGTGACCTAGGTGGGACCGTCGGGGGGGGGCTGCAGGGAGCCCTTTCATCCATAAGCCCATGGCGCAGAGGATCCACGAGCATTAACAGTCACTCGTGATCCTTACCACATGTGTCCTCCTACACATGGTTGCTCTGCTGTCTGCTGTTGGCAGCACAGCATCCCCAGAGATGAACGGTGTGGACCTGGTGCGGTCATGAGGGGACAGGTTGCTCAGCTCCGTTGTCATCTGTGGACTTGCCTGAAGCCCATTGCTAGCGGAGACCTGCTGCTCCCCTGTGCCAGCCTGCTTGGTCCTGCCTTTTATGTCCACACACGTGCAGTGGAGGAAAGAGCCCTGTTTTTCCTGGTTAGTCCTGTTTTTCCCACATCCGTGTGGTCGCAGACAGGTTATGCATAGACAGCACAGGAACCCACATATCTACGCAGGCTCACTCACCACTTCCGCGGTACTTGCTCTGTGCTGGGGGCTGCCAGGGACTGCAGGGTCCTTTGGTTGTGAAGGCCAAGCCCCGACGTGGCTCTGTCCCAGTGACTCAAACAATCTACCTTGTCACCCTGGGCTCAGGGGTGCTATAGAGGGGATGCAGGGGCTAGACATGTCTCTGGGTGCTTACGGAACATCCACTAACGCTGTCGTCTGTGCTGCTGCCCAGATCCTGAGCAAGCTGAAAGGACTAGCGCTGGACGCGGAGACAGAACTGGAGCGGCAGGATGAAGCCTTGGATGGCATCACCGCAGCTGTGGACCGAGCAACCTTGACTGTGGACAAACATACCCGGCGCATGAGAAAGCTGACTTAGCAGGATGGGACATGGGCCGTGGAGCTGCCGTGTCCAGCTTCCCACGCCTTTCATACGGACCTGGGCAGCTGCTGTGCACACAACCCGGATGGGCCGCCTAGAGCACCGCACTCGGGAAGGGCCCCCTGGACGCTGTAGCCTGTGGCCGGGCACACCGGGTGACCCGCTTATACCCTTGGTCCGAGGTCTCTGTCTCCACACTTGGGCCTGGCCGGGGTCCAGTTGTCCAACATGAATATGGTCACATTTTTGTCTTTTCACCGTTCTCGCCGAGCATTAGAGAAACCTGTAAGTCCTCTTGACGGAAGGAGGAGACTTGGTCTAGCCCCGTCCTGTCTGAGCCCCCCAGGCATGCTCTACCAGCCACACACAAACCCCTGCTCAGAGCCACAGCGGCACCCACACCTTGCTGTCCCCTCTGGCCAGCCATCTTCTTTGTGCATGTTCGGACGTTTACCCGAAGCTCTACAGAAACACTTCCGCCATGCTACCAGCAGAAGGTTGATCTCTGATTTTGCTGCTATCCAGAAATAAAAGGAAAGCTCTGATTTTGGTTCTGAAGCTGTGTCTTGCTGCTCCCTTTGCTTGCTGGTGTACTTGGAGCACCACCAGGGAGCCCACACAGGGAGGGCTGGGCCGTCCACACCCCCACAACAGGACTTGTGACTCTCGTGGGCGTTTAAGAAACACGTGCTGTCTGTGTCTGCGAGGGTCTGCAGCGTGTGACGGTCAGGCTGGGAACCAGTGTTTGCAGCTCTTCTCTCCTGGGCTTTATAAAGTGTCATCTGCACACTGTCAGGCCCCCACTGTAGCCGCGCACTAGAGCTCTCCCTCGTGCCCGCTGTGCTTTGGTCCGGCCTCTGCCCTCCACTCCCTTCCCAGCCTCTGCTGAACACCTTTGTGTGCCTCACCTGCGGGCTTTCCTCCCCCTTAGGAGGAACTTGTCTCTCTGCCCCTGGCTCCTGTCCCTTAGCCTGACACCCTCCAGGTTTATGTGTGCTGCTGCAAATGACAATTTTTATTCTTTTTATTGCTCAGTATCGTCCCACTGTATATACATGTGTTTCTACATGTATATACTAGAGGTGCTAGACTCAAGGCCTTGATGCTAGGTAAGTGCCCTACCACTGAACTTGTTCACATACAAAAAATTAAAAATTGTTTTGGTTGGTCATGGGGCTTGAACTCAGGGCCTGGGCACTGTCCCTGAGCTCTTTTACTTAAGGCTAACACTCTACCACTTTGAGCCACAGCACCATCTCCAGTTTTTTAGTGGTTAATTGGAGATAAGAGTCTCATGGGGACTTTTCTACCCAGGCTGGCTTCGAACCCTGATCCTTAGATCTCAGCCTCCTGAGTAGCTAGGATTAAGGCGTGAGCCACTGGCACCCATCTCTCTCCTATCTTTTTTGACACAGAGTCTCACTGTATATAGCTTGGGCTGGCCTCAAGCTTGTGGCCCCACGCTTCTGCAGTTGTGAATCACTTTGCCCTCCCCAAGCCTTTACCCACTCATGGACCGGATGATCAGACTGATACACAGAAGGTAGCAAGGCCAGTCTTCAGAACTGGAGGGTAGAACAATGCTCGCCACGGAACGGGTAGTGGCAGGCCCAGGGAGGCCACAGAATGGAAACAGAATTTGGAGGGATGATTTGTAGTGTTCTGTCACGCAGTCTAGCAACTGTGATGAATATGACAAATTGCATATTTGCACATGGAGAAGAAAGAAGTTGGGAGTGTGGTCACACAGAGAAGTGGTAACCGTCCGAGGAGACGAGTGTACTAATCACCCTGGTCAGCTTACAGCATGTTGTGGACGTGGGTTGACATGTCTCTAGACCCTAGAAATACGCAGCTTGATCGAATCAGTAACAGGCAGTACTCACAAGAAGGGAGAGTAGGGAGCAGAGCTTCAAGGCCTCGCGTGAGCATACATGGAGGCATTTTAGGAAAGGGAAAAGCACGACCTGTCAGCTTCTGAGGGTAGGATCTGTAGAACCGCATGGAGGCAGGGCCCGTTGGGAGGGGCCGTGTCTGCTGTGTCCAGGCCAGGGGCCCTGGGTGCAGCCTTGGCCTCCGCCACTCCCCAGGGCGAGGCCCCCGCCTCTGGGCTCTAGGCCAAAGGATGAGTCACGGGCTTGGGTGCAGCTCGGAGCATCCATGCTGGCAGGAGATTGCACATCCACTACATCTTTGAGCTTTTGGTCCTCCCTGGAAGTTGGTGCAGTGGTTCATTTGTTGGAGAGTATTTCCCAGGCCCCCTTTTGAACAGGAAAGGTGACAGGGCTGCTCCTTTGTTGGTGGTCTCTGGGATCATGGCCACGGCCTGCAGCTGAGCACCAGGGAGACACCTTTGCTGCCACTGACACCTGTATCACCGGGGATGGAGAAGGGCATGGCTGGGCCTCTGACAGGACAGGGCAGTCCTTAACCTTCACCCTGTGCCCCTGCCCTCAGCACGCTCCCTAACCTTCACCCTGTGCCCCTGCCTCAGCACGCTCCCTAACCTTCACCCTGTGCCCCTGCCCTCAGCACGCTCCCTAACCTTCACCCTGTGCCCCTGCCCTCAGCACGCTCCCTAAC